ACCCAGTGGAATGAATTGATGAGACAACAAGCTATCATCGAATTGCAAGAAGTACACGGGTACGGCACGACGTCACAGAACATTCTCAATCGCACATATTACCATTACAAGGCTTTCCTCAGTGGCACCGACTTCCCTGGGGCAGGTGGAGTCGCTATCTGTGTTCCCAGCATTGATGACACAGGCTTGGAGCAGCACGAGCGCCCTGTCATGGCCCCTACTTTGATTGTGAAAGGCAGGGGGCAGACAGCTGCGATTTTGAGCCCCGAGACAGGAGTGAAAGTTCGCATAGGCAACATCCACAACTATGAGCTCAGTGACCTGGAAAAGCGGAAGATGAAAACGCGCTGGGAAGAAAACGGAAGGTGGGCGCATGTGGCCCCGCAGCATCGATTATGCGTGGCGTTAGGCGACTTGGTTTTCAGCGATTCTTCACGCGAGTCTCCTTCGTCCGAGAGCTAACCAGGCACAGAGCTCAACAGACGGAAGCGCCAAGCATGCCTAATATTTTTGGAGACAGTTTATCGACAGTTCAGAGGACATGGCAGAGCTTGCCACGCCTGGGCCGACGCCTTTTGACAAGCACACGTACCATATGACCTACATCGATCGATTACTCCTGTCGCTGCCCCCCGCATCAGATGCGCGAAGCCAGGATTTCTGCGAATGCGAAGTATGGCGCTCAGGGCTGTCTCTATGGCGCGTCAGTGATCATGCAATGCTCGAGGTCAAATTGGAGGCACGCGAGGGGGCGCATAAGAATGATCAGGCCATCCCTTCTCCCATCCTCACTACCGAGGCCTATGCGAAGCAGCTAGAGACCAACCTAGAAGCCCGTTCGCTGAATGGCATGACAGCACACGAGCAATGGGGGCGCGCGAAGAGGCAGATGGCGCTGGCTGCTGAAACGGCCCGCAACACTTCACTTTGATGAGAACCAACATCGGGGGCGGCACCTTCGACGACCTTGGCGCGAAGGCCGCGGCGCAGCGCGCGGTGGCCCGCGCGGTCTGGCGTCGAGACCTACGGCTCGCTGCTCGCCTCATCTCCAACACCACCGCGGGCGCGAGGCACCTCCGCATCTCCGAGGCAGCAGTGAGCGCCCAGGATGAGGGAGTGTTCGAGGCGGAGGCACTCGCCTGCAACGCGGCGCGCTCTGAGCGCGCCTTGCAGCGAGCAGTTAGAGATAGGGGGAGAGTCGGCGGGGGCACGGGCGGGTCAGAGAGAGACTGTTCCGACGAGCGTCGCTTCGGAAGGCCCACGGCTGCCGTCTCATCCCGCGAGGAATCCAGCGCCCCCAGGAAGGCCACGGAGACGCGGCGCTCCGAGGCGCTCAGAACATGTCAGAGGCCATCCGCGAGCATTGGGAACTTGTTTCCATGGAGAGAGTAGAGGACGCACCTGCCCAATACGCCTTCATGGAGGAGCACGCCCCCCCTATCGGGGCCCCTGGGCCCCCCTCTCTCTGAGCCTGAGGACCTCCAGGAGGCTCCGAGGCGGCGGTGGGTCTTCTTCCCCAGGTCCCGATCGACTCACATACATGGCGCGGCTCGCTCACCCCACCCTCTCCGTCGCCCTCCACGGTCGTCTCATCTCTCTGTTTCTCGCCCCCCCCCGCCCCCCCGCCCCGCGCTGAACCGCGGCATTTTCGTTAGGCCCAGTTGACTGCGCGAGGCAGCCGGGACACTTGAGGCCAATTAGTCTGAAACACTGCGATGCCACAGCGATGGCCACCACGATGCATCGCACATTGAAGACGGCGGCAGATTCCCGCGCTCACACTGCCCAGCATGGGTTCGTCAATGGACGCGTCATTTCTCGCCGCATAGCGCGCCTGGATACATTGTGCAGGATCGCCAGCATTGGAGCTGATGCAAATGGTCGAATTCCAGCGATTGTCAGTTTTGATGAAAACGCAGCTTTCCAAAGCATGGGCCACATTTGGCTAGCCAGCGTTGTCGAGAGAATTCAGATTCCCGCTCATTGCAGACACGGTATTCGATAGCTCATGTGCAATGCTGTAGGCTTCCTCAGAGATGGCCCGGAAACAAGTGAACTCTTCTCTATCTCCTCTGAGGTCCCCCGGGGCTGCCCTCTCTCTGGGGCTCTATGAGCCCTAGGGATGGGCCCACTGGTCAGAGCCCTGGTCACTTCGCTTGAAGAGGCTGGAGGGTCAGCTGATGACCTAGGCGTGTGTGCAGATGATGTAGGAGCGGCCCTAAGCAGCATTCGCCACCTCCCCTCGCTCCTCGCGCCCCTTGAGGCTGCTGCTGCCCTTGCTGCCCTCCAGTTCCAACCCGAGAAATGCTGCATAGATCCGCCGTGGAGTGAACTAGGAGTGTCGATCGTTTTGCGGATTCGAGAGCATATCACTGCCGCTGCTACCCCATGGAGAAACTTCTCCATCGAAGCATGCACCCGATAACTCTGTATCCTCATGGGTCCAGGAGCGTCATCGAGGATCAGTGGGGCGCTGCTGGGCAGAAGTGGTGGGTTCGTGCGCGGGAGACAGGAGTCAGTCGAGCGCCCACAGCAGCATCCATCACACTGTATAGTGTGAGAGCGGTCAGTGCGTGAAGCCATCTCTCCCCGTTGTTTCCAATTTCCCCACGCATCTTGAGCAGAGAACGATGGGCGATTCACAACATGTTGCGGATCCCCCCTAGCTCGTTCAAGCTTGCCGGGTTGTTCTCGATTGGCTCGTGGGGTCGGTCGGGTGCGCTGCAATCGGTGCTAGTGATGACCGCGGCCGCCGGCTGGAGAATGGCCATGAAGACTGTGCGGGGATGGTGGGAGCGGTGGGTGGGTCGGCACGTGGAGGCCATTCTCGAGCTTGGGATTCTGGTTGATTGGTGCAAAGGAGAATGGTCTGCTCCCTGCTGGCGACACAAGTACACCATTGCACAGCAGCTTGGGAGGTGGAGCGGAGCATGGCGCCTGTGCGCCCCCCGCCGCCCGCGCCCCTCCATCGTCTCCGAGCGCGACGTTGTGGCCGCGTCGGAGGCCGCGCAGGCCGAAGACCCCAGTCCGTTGAGAGCTCGTCGAGGGCCTGGACTCCAGGCTTTTTGCCTTTGCCCTTTCCTCTCGCCTCTTCCCTGACCTGCTAAATCTTCTACTCCATCGGCGCCTTGCCTCCTGGCTCCCCTCCGTGGGTGTCCCCTGCGAGGAGTTGATGAGGAGGCGTTGGGGGCTTTTTAAAAACCATGTTTAAAGTCCCCCCCAATGCATGTTTGGGCGTTCCTGAAAACTTTTGCAGGAATCTGGATTACCACACGCAGAGTTCACATTCTCACCCCTTTGTGCTGCCGATTCGGATGTGAGAGTCGATCGGCCAATATATATATATATATATATATATATAGACACCTATATATATATATATGTATGGTGCCCCCGCATCCTCCACCTTCTTGCCCTCCCTGGCCGTGTGTTTCTCCCAAGCAACCTCATCGTCCTCCACGACTCGGATTCGATTTGCCAGAAAAACATGAACCGTCTGAAATGTATCTCTCTCTCTCTCTTTCTCTCTCTCTCTCTTTCTCTTTTTTCTCTCCTCTCTCTCTCTCTCTCTCTCTCTCTCTCTCTCGAGAGAGAGAGAGAGAGAGCCGTTGCGCTCACGAGCTTAGCTTTCCAAATCTTTCATAAACTCAGAGCCGAGCTAGTGCGCCAGCATGTGCCAGCCACATTTGTTCGGCCAGTATAGCATTAGTCTACAGGTCAGACATTCAGCCCTGCTCGCCTGCCTGGCCTCTGATGATGGTCCGATATCGAATCTTTGACGTCGACGCCGGCGCCCTGCTATGGCCGGAGCAGGCGAGAGGCTGGCCGTTTCTTCTCACGCTAATCAGCAATAGCGGTGGTGCACGATTCATCCCCTTTTGTACGTGGACTCCTCCTCCTCCTCCTCCTCCTCCACCTCGCCTCGCCTCGCCTCGCCTAAGGGGCACGGACGAAGCGACACCAACACCACCAGGGGGCCACTCCCAGCGAGGAGTTGCACGATGCCCCCCCACGAGCTGGGGACACGGGGCGTCTCGAGCGAGAGGGGGGACCACTCCAATCTGGGAGGCCCCTCCCCGGCTTCTCCCGCTGGTGGTCTTTTGTGGTGGTTGGTGCCGCTCTTCCATGCTCCTGCGGCGGGGGGCGGGGGGGGTGGGGGGCGCCGTGGGTCACGAGTCGGCTGCGCCGTGTTGATCCAGACCCGAACATCCAGCTGCTCCACTTTTTTTCGATGCGTGGGCCCCGTACGGTAGGTTCGTGTCGTGTCGACCGGCGGCGACCCCGCCAGCGGCGTTCGAGGTTGAACGCCGCGGGCGACCCAGAATCGGTCGATGTTGAACGATCGGACGTTGCGGAGACGGCCGATCGTTCAAGGTTGAACGATCCCCGCGGTGTCAAAAACCAACGCTGGGGTCGACACGACACGAACCTGCCGTAGGCCTGGACCACTTCCCTCTGGCCGGTGGTTCGTCCCAAGTCGACTTTTTCGTCGGCCCCGAGGTCCGGCGAGGGCCCCCGTGAGGGCGAAGCGGCCAGACACCCGCCGCTCCAATGTTTTGGAGCGTCGGATCTCGGCAAAAAAAACGCCGCTGCAATTGTTTGGAGCGTTGGATCTCTGGGGATGTCCAGCAAGGGCTCCCCCGAGGGCGCGAAGTTATTCGCGCTTCGCGGTCCTCGTTCCTCCTCCCCCTCCTCGTCCTCCTTTTCTCCCTTTGGGGGGGCGGCGCGAGGGCGCGAAGTTATTCGCGCTTCGCGGAGCGCGAAGCGCGAAGTTGGGAGCCCTAGTCCAGCGGGTCAAAACAAGATCCAGACGGCCAGAGGTTGGAAAAGCGTTCGGCCCCCACGGCGCCACGCGGATGGAGAAATTCGGCGACAAGGGAAAGTGACCTCTTTGCCGGAGTGACCTTTGCTTTGGGCCCACTGGGGTCCCCCGATCGCCGAACGCGAAGCTGTAGCAGCGTCTTGCGCGCTCGTGTTTGGCCCCCCGCGGCCCCCAAAAAGCCACGCACCAAAGGTCACTCTTACCCAGGGTCACTCTTGCGTGCTGTCGAGAGAAATCGGGGCGTCGGAGGCCTGGGGATGGAAGCGTTGTAGGTGGGCGCGATATCACTGCACCCACCCTTCAGCGTTGACGACGCCAGCATGTTGCTGTTTGCCCCGACATGGTCGTGCGATGGGAATGTTCCAAGCGACTGCACGACGCCTCGGTCTCGGATTTCAGGTGCTTCAGCGACGCAGACTTAGTACCTCAACGCCAGCGTGCGAGAGGCAGGGGCGTGAGCCTGCAGAGCCGAGTGCATCGAGCATTCCTCCTCTTCGAAGGCGTTCGAGTGAATCTGGAGGTCTTCGCTGGTTATGGATGTGTTTGCGCCCACGGCTGCACTCGGCGCAAAGGTCCAGTCAAGATGGTGACTGGGCGGGACCCGGGAGCCTGAGGATGTTTTTGTGCTATTCGGAGCACCTCGGCCGCGGGAGCGCAGCAGCATTGCTGGTCTTACAAGGGGTCGTGGCCGTGTCAGCGCGGAGCCATGGGTCGCTTCCATGCCCCAGGCCACCCAGAAGCTCCGAGGATGTGACTCGAGGAGGGTGGGATCCCGCTTTGGCCTTCGGGGGGTCGTGCGCTGTCAAGACTTTCAAGCGTCAGTGGCGGGGAAACTGAGCAACACTGTTGTGCCCGTGAGGCCTGGTAGATGAGCTCAGAATGAGTCGTGGTTGCCAGACTTGCTGAGATTCCACCAACGTTTCAGAGCAGCTACTTGCCCGTGTTACCCAGAAAATGCATGTACGTGTTAAAGCCCGTGAAAATAGAGCCCATTACATACGTTCACAGGTGGTCTCCTCAGGAGACCGCTCATCCAGGAGCCACACACACCCCTCGTCATCCGCCTCCTCCTGCTCCTCGCCCTCTCTGCCCTCTTTGCCCTCCTTGCTTTCGGCCTCCTCTCCTCAGTCCCCCCTCACGGGTGATATTTAAGCTTCCCAGTTGTCTCTTTCTTGCAAGGTGTTTGATGGCGTTGATGTGAAGCAAAGTTCTCGGTTGCTGAAAGCTCATACGCGCAGCCTGATGGCCGACGAAAGAGGGCTGGCGGATTGTTGGGAAGACGAGCTACGCTGAGGAAGAAGCGGCGGGGAGGGAAGCAAGCGGAAGGACGGACCGGAGACGGGAGCCGACCTCTCGCTGCCCTCTCACTCTGCCTCCGCCTCCAAGCCCGGGCTCCTCTGGCCCCGTGTTGCCGGGCGGGCGATGAGCGAGGTCGGCTTCACGGGCGCCGTGCGGGTGCAGAAGTTGTTGCTGAGGGCGCCAGGCGACGGGCGTGCGCCAGCGGTGCCCAGGGCGGGGGGATCCCCTGGGCAGCGCCAGCAGTGCGGGGCGTCTCGCATCCAGTATCGTGTCAGATGCGAAGGTTTGCGAGGTGTCAGTGGTCACCGAGAGCCTCAAGCGTTTGAATCGGTTTAGCCTTTCGGGGCTGTGTCCTCGGGACACTCTTTTGCCACTTCGAGCCGTCACGTGCGGGGCCTTACGTAGGCCTATTGGAGGCATATTGGAAGCCATCGTGAGTTATATTGTGCCATCTGGGGCGCTCCTGTCTTCTCCTCCTCCCCCTTATCCTAGTGCCAAAGTTTGTCTGACTAGCTGCCACGTGCCATTCCCATTTCGGATTGTATGCTCTGTTGCCCACGCATGCTGCATACCTCTGTCGCGCCCGCTTCTCATGGGGCCGCTCCGCCAGAGCCGGCACGCAGGCTGAACTGAGCTGAACATCTGGGTCCCTTTTAAGAGCCAGATTGGGCCAAACAGAGTTATTCGGGTGGGACCAGGCGGAGGAGAAATCCAATCCAGCGCGTGCTGGCACGCTCTCAGAACGTTCCAGAACGCTCTGAGAAGGCCGCGTTGCCCGAGAGATCCTCTAGAGCCGCCAGATCTGACAGAATCTCGATTTACTTTCACCCGAATGTATCCTCGTCTTGGCTTCGCCTTCATTCTCTGAGACCTCGAGCCCACACCGTCCAGACCAAGGGGAGGACTTGATTGACGGGGTGGATGAACCCCGCCAGTCGACGGACGGCCACAACGCCCCTCGCTGGGGACTCCATGGCAGCCCAAGATGCCTCCAAGACGGCTACAGATGGACAGAATGGACAGGACAGGACAAGACAGGACAAGGGGGCACAAGACCTGTGGAGACACACCAAGACATCACCCAGGTCGGCCGAAGATGGCCCCAACACCCGCCAAGAGAGCTCCCGAGCCGCCAAAATCTTTCAACGCACTCCGGGAATACCAATGTGGGCCAGCGTGGACCCCAAACAGTACATTACTGCACTGTGGATGAGCAAGCTGTGTGTTGCAAGCTAACTGGTGCAAGCTGTGTGGCGTAAGCCACATGGTGGAAGCTATGTGGTGCAAGCTATGTGGTACACTCTACGTGGTGCAAGCTTTGTGGTGTAAGCTATATGGTGCCAGCTTTGTGGTGCAAGCTACGTGGTGTACGCTATGCGGGGCACGATGTGTGGTGCAAGCTGTGGTGTAAGCTAATTATGCCACTCAGTACAAGTCGTGCGCGCTGGAGACTGCAAGCTATATGGTTCAACAGATGTTGTGTAAGCGATGCTGTGCAACCTGTGTGGTGCAGGCTTTGTGGTGTAAGCCATGCGATCCGGCGAAGCACGGGAACGAGGCCGCCGGGCCCGCAGACGGGCGCCCTGTTTGGAACAATGGGGCGGGGACGGAGGCCGGGCCCGCAGACGGTCCCAGCTCCTTAGAAGGCAGGCAAGAGCCCCTAAGTGCAAGCACTCTTTGGGGAATGATGACTGGCTTCGACGCCTTGTTGCCTCCGAAGAGCTGTTGAGGCCTCAAGGTGGTATCAAGAGAGTCCCATGAGAGCCCAAGACGGGCCAAAGGGCTGCCAAACCGTCCAAATCTCGAGCATGCCATCAGCGTCCAGCGTCTTGGGCGCCGAAACGGCTCCCAGAGGGCCCGAGAGACCTCGAACCGGATCCCAAGAGGCCCCCTGAGAGGCCATCAAGAGATCCACGGGACTCCCTTTAGCCGCCTCCAAGAGGACCCCCGGTGGGTTCGTTGGGCGGGGGAGGATGGTCTTCTGGCGTGGGGGTCCTCGAAGAGGTAAAATGGGGGATGAAAGCGGGAATGTTCTGAACCACCTACGCCCAGACGGCTGGTGGAATTAGGCGGGGCCGAACGAAGCAATCAGATTGCAACATTAGCGATGCTCGAATCCGACCAGGCTTCCGAAACCAGTCTTTCTAAACGAGCCCCCGCCCTGGCGAGACCTTCGGTTTCGGAAGGCTTGCTCAGCTTCGCGAAAACATGCCTTTCCTCCCCACCACCGTCCTCCATTCCCAAACCTTTCATACCACAAATCATTCGCGACGAAGGCCCCAGGAGCTCCCCAACCAGTCTCTGAAACTATTTTTCATGGGCCCGGGGTCGAAGACGGCGGAGGAGGAGGAGGAGGAGGAGGAGGAGGCGTCGTTTTCGGTTCAGGACGCTGGAGCCTTGGGCCCACCCCTTCAATGCCGACCCCTGGACCTCTCGAGGCGCCCTCTGGCCAGAGCCTGGAGGGGAGTCTGGCCATGGCGACGAGGACGCCCCAGGAGGCCTATGGCGGCCACAGAAGCGTCACACTCGCCCCATCCCGGAGGTGGAGGAGGAGGAGGAGGAGGAGGAGGAGGAGGACGTACGCTTCGGGCTCAGTCCTCTAGTTCGCGCAACGTCAAGAAAGGATGACGATGATGCTGATGATGATGATGTTGTTGATGATGCTGATGCTGATGCTGATGCTGATGCCGATGCCGATGCCGATGCCGATGCCGATGCTGATGCTGATGGTGCTGACGATAAGGATGAGGATGAGGATGAGGATGAGGATGATTGCGACGATGAGGATGAGGATGAGGATGCGGATGGTGATGAGGATGATGATGGCGACGACGTTGATGATGACGACGGTGGTGATGACGACGACGATGATGATTGTGATGTTGATGATGCTGATGATGGAGATGAGTATGATGATGTTGATGATGGTTGTGATGATTATGATGCTGGTTGTGATGATGGTGATGCTGATTGTGATGATTGCGATGGTGATGATGACGATGACGATGATGCTGATGCTGATGATGATGATGATGATGATGGTGGTGATGATGCTGAGATGCTGATGATGATGATGATGATGATGACGAGGATGAGGATGCGGATGAGGATGATGATGATGATGATAATGAGGATGAGGATGAAGATGAGGATGATGGTGCTGCTGCTGCTGCTGCTGCTGCTGATGATGATGATGATGATGATGATGATGATGATGATGATGATGATGATGATGATGATGATGGTGGGGGTGGTGGGGGAGGAGGAGGAGGAGGAGGAGGAGGAGGAGGAGGAGGAGGAGGAGGAGGAGTGGGGTGGAGTGGAGTGGAGTGGAGTGGAGTTGAGAATATGGAAAAAGCGACGGTTCGAGGCCACACTCCCGCGGCCGCCGCCCTCAGCCGTCCAATGGACAAAGCGGCCTCCGAGTCGGAGGGCGCAGCCACGGCCCCCGTCCGCAGGTGCACGAGACGGGCGACCGTGGCGGCGGGGGCTTACGCGGCGCCCGCCCGCAGGCGCAGCGCGGCGGCCCCGCCACGCACAAGAATCCGAGTGCATTTCGAAGAACTGGCCGAAGTCCCTGCACGCGGAGTACGACGCGCAGGGGGCCACCAGCCGTCCGAGCGCGGGCCGACGGCCTCGTCCGCAAGGTACGGCGGCCACTCAGCGCCAAGCCCTCAAAATCGAGGCAGGCAGCCAGGGGCGGGCAGCCCAGCCCGCGCCAGCTCGGCCTCCAAGGCGGCGAGCTCGCTCTCCGCCGTGGCGAGGTCGCGCTCGCTGCGAAGCCTCGCGGCCGTCGCCGCCGCCGCCGCCTTGAGCTTGTGCTGGCGTACCGCGGCCGCCGCCGCCGCAGCCGCAAAGTCAAGGGGCGGCCTCTGGCGCGCTCGGGCCGTCGGTGCCGCCCTCGCGCGCCTCGGTGCCCTCCGCGCCGAATCGCCGTCGTCCTCGTCATCCGACGGGAGCGGCTCGGGCGTCACGGCGTACTGGACGGCCGCAGCTGCCGCCGTCTCCTCCGCCAGCCGCCGAAGGACAGCGAGGTCCTCCATGAAGCACGCGTTGGTGTCAAGGCCTGGCCTCGGGGGGGGGGGGGGGGGCGACGCCCCAACGGCAGGCACGGCGGCCGTAGCCGCATCCGACGCTGGCGGGGCTGCGACGCTCGACACATCAGCCGCGGGGCAAAGCGGCTCCAGCTCGGCCTCGAGCTCGGCCTCGAGCTCGGCCGCCTCGTTGAGGACCCTGGACGCCTCCAGGATGGCGGCGTCGAGGTCGGCCGCGGCGTCGGGCATGCCGCATGGACGAGGCTGCCCGTCTCCTCCACCAGCACCAGGTTCGCCAGCATCGCCACGCCGAAGGCGGGCGGCCAGAGCGTCGCGCAGCGCTCCGCCCAGTAGGGTGAGCGACTGCCCACGATGGCCACGCACCTCCTCGAAAGCGGCCAGGAGGCGGATGGCGGCGCGACCGTGCGCCCGCGCCTGCTGCACGCGGCGTTCCGCAGCCGACCGGTTGGGCCGCCGGCGCCGCCGAACCGAGGCGAGGTCCATCCCGCACGGGGTGGGGCGGCGCGAGGGGCGCCCGTGGCGCGGGCTCGGGGGCCCTTGGTCAGGGCCGAGCTGGCGCTGGAGGAGGAGGAGGAGGAGGAGGAGGAGGAGGAGGAGGAGGAGGAGGAGGAGAAGTCGCCTGCAGGTCCCACCCCTGCCCCCCGCAGCCGACTTGGCTCCGCAACAGGGCCTAGGCGCGCCCCGCCCGCCCGCGCGGCCCACCAGAGGCCCTCGCGGTCCAGCGCCCCCTCGCCCTCCCGCCGCGTGCCTGGAGCGGCGCGTGCTTGGCGCAGGACGGGCCCCCCCTCTTGGCCTCCCACATGGGCTCGGAGCAGAGGGGGTCGGAAGAGCGCTCGGTGTATCGTCGATGCATCGGCGATGCGGCTCGACGCTGGGCCCGATTTCTTTACGCCGACGGCGCCGATGTGTCGCCGACGTCGCCGATGCATCGGCGATGTATCGGCGATGCGGCGCGATTCTCCGACTCCATCCACTCGGACCCAATCTAGGAGGCCTCTACCCCCCCCGTCTGCGGGCGCGTTCGCGACCTCGCGGCGCGCAGCTCAGAGGAGAGCAGGGCTCGAGCCAGAGCGCTCCGGAAAGCTCTCAGAGCGTTCCGGAACGCTCTGAGAAGGCAGCGGCGCCCGAGACATCCTCCAGAGCCGCCGG